TAGGGTTTAGTTTAGGGTTTAGGGTTTAGGGTTACCCTTAGGGGTTCTTCGTTGTCACTGTAATTATACTGTGCTGCTGCTGATAATAATGATTATGTCGGTGATGGTGATGATGAGTTTTGTCGATTCTCCTAGCGATATATTTGGGACAACCTCGTTTGCTAACGCTTGGGGGAACACGACAAGCCCCTAAATCTCTAATTGATTCTAAGCTTACGTATTTGGATTCATGTTTGGACATGTTTCGGAAGTTAGTGCAGAGAGAGTTGTTAGTCAAAGGAGTTACGGATTTGGGTGTTAGGCGACCGTAAACCCTAGAGACCGCACTTGGAACTCAGGCGTGCCGTCTTCGCAGCTGGGAAGTCGTCCACTGCCGCAGGCAGCCTTCGAGTATTTCAAGCACCAAGCGGTTCAATGAGGAACAAGCACATGCACATGTCTATGTGGTTCGTATGAAATAAACCAGCAATGGGACATACAAAGAACAATTACACAAGTATAGTATTAAGTAAACGAATGTGTGTATATGTATATATATATATATATGTGTCTGTGTATATACTGTGTATATGGACCTGGACGTGTCTGTATGTGTGTGTGTATATACATATTTTTATGTATGTACACAAATGGTTTATACATTCGGCTGTATGCATGCTGAGCAGGAGGAAGCTGAAACACTTGTTCCTTCATTCAGGTGGAGGCAGCCGCATCAAGACTGCCTAGAATCTTTTCCATACAATTGCATAGTCCTACCCGTGGTCTTTTGCGAGCAGCTATAAACTGGGCTTAGTACTGGGATGCTTGTTCTTTTTTAGTGACAAAAGTATTTGAATCTTGCAAGAATCCCACCCTACCCTAAGACTATAATCCGCGTAGCCTTTGCAATGAAAAGCTGCAGACGGATCACATACGAACTTAGTGGGTATGAGAAGACACCAACTTTTATACTCTGCGCTGTAGATATCTCTGCTTCGCTTTATTTATCATTCTCGATGTTGCATCTCTGTCCTTCTCTCTTTCTCTCTCTCTCTCTCTCGATTGTTCCACCTGTCCTTCTCTGTCTCTCTCATACTCACACACATGCACTCACACGAAGAGCGAAATGAACTTCTCCGCGCAACTGCGTGGATAGACATTAACAGCGGCATGCGGACAAGCGCTGTCGAGTTTGCAGCCCCATGTGCATGTGGGACCTTACTTATATACTTACCAATACTATTTGGGGGTTCCTTATTATAATTACAGTATAATATACCCCGAAACCCTATTGAAAATTGTTAAGGCCCGATACTATATACGCGAGCACACCTTGATGGGCGTGTGTACATTCATGTTCGTATGTGTGGACATACTCATGTATGCGAATGTGAGCAAAAGGGGCATGTGTTCGTCATACATTTGTGCCTTTTGCTTATCCAATAGGCATGTAGGTATGCACTTGCACATGGGATGGCTTGAGCAGGCTTGAATCAATGCGGGACTAGACAAATATAGAGAATCTGTATGTGGTCGCCAAGCCTCTATCCTCAAGCCTATCTCTAAACCCTAAATCCCAAGCCCTGAGCCGTGAGCCCATGTCTTGAAGGAACCGTTATAAGGGAATCGTAAAAACAAACGGAGAGGAATCCTGAAACCCTAACCAAAGAAAAGCCTCTTGCAGGTCTCACGGCCTCTGTGGTGAAGGCTCCTACTTCAGTGTATCGGGTTCGGTGAGGGTTCCGGGCTCGTTATTTGTTTAGGGTTTAGGGTTTAGGGTTTCGCGTTTAGGGTCTGGGGGTTTTAGGGTCTAGATGTTACAAAGGTTCTCTACGACGATCCCCCAAAGAGGCTGTCATCGGCGGGGCGTGGGAATTTTAGGGCTTGCTATTGCTGGTTCTAAACCCGACCTGTATCCTCAAGCCCTAAAAACTTGTAGGTGATGACGTCTTTTCTTATCGAGTTAGACGGAGGAGCCAAGAAAACACTAGGTTGTCGGATCCCGAGATAAGCCCTAGCTTTCAACCGTACCTGCTGGGGTTAGGGTTTGCCCGACTTGAAGGACCAGGGGATTCCGGCAGCAGCTTGGGATAAGAATCCTGCTCCCGGCCTAATGTACTTAGAGAACCCTCGGAACGAACCCTAAACCCCTAAACCCCTAAACCCTAAACCCCTAAACCCTAAACGCCTAAACCCTAAACCCTAAACCCCTAAACCCATTGTAGTGCTTAGGATAGGTATTCAAGGCTAGGGTCTCTTTTGGGGATTCTTCAGGAGATTCCACCTAATATAGGCGCTCCAATAATCAGAATAGGGTTTGGGTTTAGGGTTTAGGGTTTAGGGTTTAGGGTTGGGTTTTTTATGCAAGAATTATCATAATGAATACGGAACCCCCAAAACTCTATGCTAATTATTAAGGCCCCTACATTAAAGGCAAAAAAAGCTAGGAAAACTCGAACGCTTTGTCCTCGAACCCAGTGACTCCGAAACACCCTGGTTCAGCAATGATGATATATACTCTTAGATCATACTCTCTAGTTCAGGGGTATAGCATTAAGTCATACTGGATTTCAGGCTATGTGCCTTAGTTATGGTGATTTCTTTTGCGATGTTCTTGCAAGCTTGGAAGCCGAACCCTGAATCAAAAACCCCTAAACCCGAGCCCGTGTCACAGGAGGCGGATCTCGATAATGAGCGACTGATCCAGCCGGGAGCACTGATGCTGGCTGCCAGGGGTCCCAGAGGGTTGTGAGGTCTAGGATCTCAGGGTTTTGGGTTTTGGGTTCAGGGGTTCAGGTTAGGGTTTAGGGTTAGGGTTTTATCCCTAAGCCCTAGCACCCTTTAGGAGATCTTGGTGCTCAGGGTTCAGGGGCCTTACTAAAGAGGGCAGGATTGCAGGGTTTTCTGGAGCTCAGTTATGTTTTTCCAGTGCCTTGCAGGAGGTTCTGGCTTCGAGGGTTTGGGGTTTGGCTTTGAGGGTGCGGTCAGTGGGTTTAAGGCTTCAGGTGTGTAGATATTCAGACAGGTTACACTTATGCTCGCCACGTTTTCCAGATCTGTACAAGTAGAACATGGAAGCTCTACTCGAACCCCAAAGACCCTACTCCGCTTCAAGGACTTATATAAATATAAGGAAGTTATATACGGAAACCTCCAAACATGCAGGTGCAAACACCTTGAAAGCCCGAGTCCTTGCAGTGCGCAAGATGCTCGATGAGGAGGTGCAGGAGCATTTGGATACGAAGTCGAGGCTCAATATCAATGCTCGGCCTCATTGCAACAGGCAAGCCTGCCCTTGCCTCTGGGGATGCCTTTCCTCCCCGTGTCCTCCACAGCTCACGCCACGTGGCAGCAGCTATCCAAGAATTGCAAGCTGGTCACAGAAGCCCTGCAAGTGGCTGGCAGTCGCGACTTTTTCGTGGCTTTGGACGAAACGGCTTGGAGGGCAACGTATGACGCCTTGTCAGGCATGACAGATGGTGGGAGCCGCATTCTGGTTGGGGGCCAGTGGCATCGAGATGAAAGTGAGGATTGGAGCAGGTTGACCAAGACTGCTGATGCCCACCCTGCCAAGCTCAGCAAGCTGACATGCCACTGCCTATAGTCTCCAGTGTAGTTCCTTTTTCTGGTTTAACCAATTCTATATTAAGGATCCTAAAAGCTAACCCCCAAAAGGAACTACAATGGAGACTATAGGTGGGTGGTCAGTCGGACTGACACCAACCAGGCGGTGTGGGAAGTCGCAATGATCCCCTTTGTAGTGTTCCCTCGGCGACATTCAAGAGTCAAGAGCATTATGTCGCGTACTGGAATGTACTAGAACTCGAGAACCAGGGTGCATGTGCGCTCTCCTGATTCCTAGTGGGGTTTAGGGTTTAGGGTTTAGGGGTCTGATGTAGAGATCGGCAGAAGCCTCCCCCTTCCTGTATACTCAACTTACGACATACGCCCCAAACCCTACTCTAATCACGACTGCCCCTGTATTACGGTCGAGGGTTTCGGGCTACCTGGTTCGACCCCAAACCCTAAAACCCTGCGGTGCTATGAGCGGCAGTGAAGAAAGACCCGAAAGGGTTCGTTCAGAACTCTTTGAAGCCCCAAAACCCTAACCCGAAACAAACTGTTTAATATAGGTTCCTGAATAAGAATCCCATACTATTTTGGGGGTTCCTTATTATAAATATAGTATAGTGGGCCCCAAAACCCTATTCTAATTATTAAGGCCCCTGCATTGAGGAGGCACGGGCACACGCCCGATGGCGGCGGGACCATCCGGGGTTGCCACTCCCTTCCCTGGAGGGCTGCCATCCGAATTGGCCAAATTATTACGCCTTCGCGAAGGGTGGTCCCTTTGTAGGGTTCGTTCAAGGGATCTACAAGGTATTCGAAAGGGTTTGAAAATACAAAATTGGTAGTTCTCTACACTAGTGGGTCTCCATTGCGTCATCGTTGCCAAAGCTGCTTCCTCCCAGCCCGAAGACCGCTTCCCAATGTCGTGAAGGCTGCCGTGCCAAATACGGTACACCCTTTTGGTTTAGGGTGTAGGGTCGTGGGTCTGGGTTTTAAGGTTGAAGGTTTAGGGCTTAGGGCCTGGTCATGGGCTTGGGGGCATTTGGGCTTAGGGCTAAGGGTGAAGATTCTTTGGGCTTAGGGTTTTGTGGTGAGGAGTTCTTGTTTGTCATACTGCATACTCCTAGGTAGTATTAGGGAGACCCCTGAATGATAAAGAGGGATCCTTCCAAATCCTACTTATGGCTCTCTGAAAAGGGACCTTATTATTGAGAGGGTCTAACCCCAAGGGCCCCCCCAATCCAAACTCCTATATATATATATATATATATATATAATGCATCTGATAGAGTGTATATATATATATAATATTATATATATATACACATAGTTGTATACATGAGCAATGAGTCTCGCCTGCCGAGGACAGCGGCATTTGCTGCATCGATGAGTTCCACTGCATGGATGCCAAGGCCTCCTACGGCCGCTACGGGGTTTTAAGATGCCGTTTAAACAGGGTTAGGGCTTTTTTACAGAGTTTTACATGACTTCCTGGGGTTTCGTAGGATTTTGGGTGGTTTGTTCGGATTTTAGGAGGTTTGCACTGGTGCGGCTTTCATAGGGTTTTACGAAGTCTTTCGATGGTTCTTTCAGTTTTTGTACACATCACGATGTGAAGCACAGCAGTGGTACGACCAGGAGGTAGCCGCACCAACAAAGTAAGCATAACAGCAACAGTAGCAGCGACAACCATGCAACTGAAGCAGTTTCAATGCCAACAAGAAGAGCTAGGCAGCAGCAGCAACAAGCTCGACAGCAACTTCGCTAACAGCATAGTTTTTTCAATCAACAGGCAACACACCAAAGATATCAGCAGCGTCTGGATCAGCTAGGCGCTGCATCAAGCAAGCACCCCCCCCCGCCTCAATTCGTTCTGAAAGCGTTCTGTAGATCCTGAACTCTGACCTCTAAACCCGAAACCCTAATAAACTCCATTCCCCAAGCCCCAAGGCCTAAAACCTAAACTCGAAACCCTGATCCCTGAACCCTCAACTCGCAGCTCTACTTTGTCCGGCCTGCCTCCTCCACCGTTTTCCCCGCTTCCTCCAGGCAAATCCCGATGCTCTCGAACTCCAAGCGAAAGCCCAATTTTATATTGCCAGTATAGCTCAAGACTACTGAAGCTTATTTGTTCTACATGTCATGATTACAGGCTTTTTACCACACGTTTACATAGGTTTTTGGGTCTAGGCCGAGTAAGACCCCCTCCTTCCCGGCTTGGGTTTAGGGCCGTTCAGGGTTTAGGGTTTTAGATTTTAGGGTTTAAGGTTCAAAGTTAAAGGGTATAGGGTTTGGCTTTGCAGGACATGGTGGCCATTCATGAAGCGATGGAGCAGCAGACCATTTCGCTCTCCAAGGCACAACCGAGTTTTGTGCATTGGCACTCCCACTCTTACTCCTGCTACTACTACTTCTACTACCACTACTACTACCTCAACCGCCACCACGACCTACTACTACTACTACTACTACTACTACTACTACTACTGCTACTACTACTTCGACGGCGACTACTAGTAGTAGTAGTAGTAGTAGTAGTAGTAGTAGTAGTACTACTGCTACTGCTGCTGCTACTACTACTACTACTGCTACTAACAACAACAACTACTACTACTACTGCTGCTGCTGCTGCTGCTACTACTACTACTACTACTAGCCACCCTCCCCCCCGCCCTACCAGCTACCTGGCACATAAACCCATCATCATCATCATCATCACCGTTGGTATTGACTACAACATCACGAAGCACTGAAAAATCCGAGTAAAATGGATGTGCTCTTGAAAAGTACGTCATCATGCCCCCCCCCCCTCCACCCCCCCATGAGATGCAACCTGGGATAATAGACCCTGGCAGGGCGTACAGGTCTACAGGCAACGCAAGAGTCTGTTTTTGACACAGGCGCACAGCGGTTAGCATGATCTCTTCTAGAACCTTGAGCAGCAAACATAGACACATGCAAGTGGTACGTGAAACAGACATGCACCTGGATGTGTGACATCAGTGTTTCACCCCACCCGCCCCCCACCCCCCCAGCCCTCAACAGCGGTGGTTGGTATTGACATCACGAAAGTATTGTAAATACCGAGTAAAACGGATGTGCGCTTAAACAGTGTTTAGGAGAGGTAGTTGGTGGGGGGGCCTACTACGAATATGAAAACTACTCCTACTACTACAAAAGCGTAGCGCGAAAGTGCACGAAATTCCGGCAAAAGGAAAAAACAATTTGCGAAGAAGGCCATTTCCAGAAGAAGGAGTATTATGTTGATCAGCCTGCGTTCCGACGACTTCCCGGTCGACAAGCCGATCTTCGTGCTTCAATTGCCGACTCCTTGCGTGTTTCTTCCAGACAAGGCTACAAGCATGCGACTTCGCCCGGCATCGTGTCAAAGGTGAGGGACCTATTTGCTCCGGAGCTTGGCCTGTGACGTTGCTGGAGCTTGGCCTTTTGGAGGTCTTGCCTCTCCGTGGAAATTCTGTTTGTTTCGTGTAGCAATGGCCTTAGACTCGACTGAGCTCCTGCACCAACTCCAGCTGGCGACTGTTGCAGTGCCCCATGTTTGCAGTAACAGTGCTCACGGCCTTGAGGCCGTATTTGCGGCTGCCGTTCTTGCAGGGGCAGGAGTTTGCTTTACTTTATACAGGCACCACGGGCTCTTACGCTTGGCTCGATGGCAACTTTCAGCCGGAGTTGTGCGCAGAAGGTCGGGCCACTTTGCACCACTGGGTGCTCATGCCTCAGAATGACCGACGCATCTTCTGCTCGCAAGCTGCCACTTTGCACCACTACGATGTTGACAGACCTTGGGAAGAGAGGCCAGAATCAGAGGCCTCTTCTTGAAGCACAAGAAGACCGGGAACCCGTTAGTTCGCTACCCATCAGCGCAGCCACAAGTCGCAGCATCGAGCCGAGCATGTGTATCAAATTCAGGTGGACAGCGTCGCTGAGCATTCTGCGACAAGCAGCCAGGCTTATGCGACCTGCCCCCAGCACAAAGCCCCCGAGTGTTGGGATGTGTAGGGTAGGGCAGATGGTGGGCATTGTCGGAAGCTCAGGCAGTACTTGGGAGATGCACGTTATGTTCACGTCCAAGCCTGCCTTAACACGTTACTTGAGTCACCCGAGACTCAAGAGTCGGACATGAACCGAGGTTGCTGCTCTGGGTCTGCTGTTCTGTCGTAAGCCCAAAAGTGCAGTGATGCACGCTGCAGCTTGCACGGGCTTCTTCAGAGCACGTGCAGGTTGGCACCAGCAAACTCCGGCAAAGCTCTTTCCAGTTTCTTGGCTTGCCGGGCATTCTCAAGATTGAAATCGCTCCCGCGGGTGGCATGGATTGCTAGGTGCTTTATGCTGCCGTAGCATACCACTTCTCGGCGAAGATGTGGCGCGATTTGATTGGAACAGTTGCTAGTCAGTTTAAGAGTAATTGGTCGATGAACCTGTCAAGCGATTACCCTCCAACGCTCCTTCAGGTCGAGGCTAATGATCATTTGTGGGCCAATTGTGTCGCGAACTCAAAGCTTGGTGCGCCAGGTGGCCGATAGCACAACAGTCCGATGTTAGTCATCTCTTCTGCCTCTTCTGCATGTTGCTTGCGGTGCTGTGCAGCTTCTGAAATCGCGGAGCTCGACTCCAGTGCAATCGAAGCGACCGCCTCCGGTCTGCGTGAGGAAGCCATTCCAGTAAAGAAGTCTGGGTTGTAAGCACGTGTGCTGCCTGCTCGCTGCTTCACTTTCTCTCGAATCCATCCAGGCAGCACATCGTAGAGGGCCCAGTCGCCGCGTGTATCTCCCAAGTTTGAACATTTCGTTCCTTGTTTTTCATCATGGAACAACTGAACACCTGGTGAAAGCGAGAGCCCGCTGATGATCTTTATCACGCTCACGCCAACTGTCTGCTCACTGTGCCTGCCGCCAGCATCCATTGTCCTTCCTGCACGAACACACTCGGTTTTTCTTCAAACTTATGTTTCCCTGGTACATTCATGTACGTTCGGCTCAGGAGATCTCGGACAGTCCTGCACCCCGCCCCCGCCTGCCCGCCCCGCCCCACCCCCGCCCCTCCCCCCTCCCCGTGCGGCCTGGCCCCGCCCCACCCACCCCGTCGCCCCGCCCCGCCCCGCCCCTATGCACGCAGACAGACAGACAGACAGACAGACAGACAGACAGACAGACAGACAGACAGACAGACAGACAACCAGACAACCAGACAACCAGACAACCAGACAACCAGACAGACGAGACAGACGAGACAGACAG